ACTTGCCCAAGTCACACAAAGCTATTGGTCTGAAGTGGATTTTTAAATTGAAGAAAGATCCAGAAGGAAGAATTATTAAGCATAAAGCCAGGCTAGTTGCTAAGGGATATGTCCAAAAATATGGAGTTGACTATAAGGAGGTTTTTGCACCAGTAGCAAGGATGGAAACAGTGAGAACACTACTTGCATTTTCAGCACATAGAGATTGGGAGGTACATCATCTTGATGTAAAGACAGCATTCCTCAATGGTGATTTGAGGGAAGAAGTGTATGTTCAACAACCCGAGGGTTTTATTGACAAAGGGAAGCCAGACAAAGTGTTGAGACTTCATAAAGCCTTATATGGCTTGAAACAGGCTCCTAGAGCCTGGAATGAGAAGCTGGATATGTGTTTGAAGTCACAGGGGTTCAACAGATGCATTTATGAATATTCTGTGTACATGAAGAGATCTGGAAGAGATGTTACACTTGTGGGTGTTTACGTGGATGACCTGATTCTTACAGGTTCCAGCACTAAGCTTATTCATAATTTTAAGCAGGAAATGATGCAGGTTTTTGAAATGAGTGATCTTGGGCTTCTGTGTTACTATTTGGGGATAGAAGTGAAACAGAATCAAGAGGCTATCACAATGTGTCAATCAGGATATGCCAAGAAGATTCTTGAGAAGGTTGGGATGGCTGATTGCAACCCATGCAATATACCAATAGAATCAAGGAGCAAATTTAGCAAGCTGGATGAAGCACCATCTGTGGACCCCACTCTGTTCAAAAGCATCATAGGAAGTCTAAGGTACCTTGTAAATACACGCCCAGATCTTGCATTCTCAGTTGGTATGATGAGCAGATATATGGAAGCCCCTACTACTACACACATGACTGCAGTTAAGCAGATTCTGAGATATATTAAGGGAACTTTAAACATGGGGTGTGTGTATAAGAAGGGAGAAGACAATGAGGAGTTGATTGGCTACACTGATAGTGATCTAGCTGGTGATATTGATGACAGGAAAAGTACTACTGGTATCATATTCTTCTTAGGTAACAGTCCGATTACTTGGGTGTCACAAAAGCAAAAAATTGTAGCTTTATCCTCTTGTGAGGCTGAGTATATTGCAGCCACTAGGGGTGCTTGTTAAGCTATCTGGCTCACTAAGCTGATTGAAAACCTAACTGGGAAAACAGAAATGAAGCCTACACTCAAAATAGATAATAAGTCAGCCATTGCTCTAGCAACCAATCCAGTGTATCATGACCGGAGCAAGCATATAGACACAAAATACCACTTTATAAGAGAGTGTGTTGAGAGAAAAATGTTGAAGCTGGAGCACACAAAGACAGATACTCAGTTGGCAGACATTCTAACCAAGCCACTTGGGAAGCAAAGGTTCAGTGAGCTACTTAACAAGATTGGAATGAAGACTATAAAGGAGTAATCAAGTTTATGGGGGTGAATGATAAAGTTTAAACTTGATTACTTGCTAGCCGTTAATTAGTTTGTTAGTTTTATCTTTGGTTTGTGTCTTGTACAACATGTTTCACACGTTCACACATCATCACACCCACGTTTGCACGTTTCACCCATGTTTGCACATTGTTCTTTCTTAAAACTGCTGCACTCCGTTAGTTTATAAGGGAGGTGTTGTTAGGGGGTTTTTTCATCCATTCGAGTAATGGGTTTTTCCCCCAAATATATATAAAAGAAGCAAGGCAGTTTATATACATATTTTCTTCTCCATGTTCATACATTTACATACGTTATTGAGTTGATTCATGGTTATACGATCCGGATGATAGTCTAACAGATGGGATCTGGCGGGCGGCAGCGACGGGATCCGGCAGGTGCGGCGGGTTGTGAACAGATCTGGCAGACTACATGTTTGGGAGCTTCAGATCCTTCTTCAAGAAGTAAATCCAGCAGACTATGACCATATCAAAGCCGATGAATGTGAAGATGGCGTGGTTGAGAAAACACAGGCATATGGAGAAGGTCGTATGCTCATCCATGGATAGGGCGCCGAGTGGAGCATGGCGGCGGTGGTGCTGGTTTCAAACGCCGGAAGTAGCGTGAGAGAAGAAAGGAAAGAAGTTTTAGCATTTGGAGCTCTCGTGCTGATAACGTGTTGTAGGGAGAATTGTTCGTAGAATTTCATTACCAAATGCCCCTATAAATAGGGATATAATAGGGTTTACAAGTATGGGCCAAAAGCCCAGAATACATAATTTACATAGAAACGACCCTAATACATATTCTATATAAACGATAGCACACTACATAGAATTTCCTTCAACACAGTTATGTTTTTAACTTACCTCCTTTTTGAAATACTATCGTATTTAAGTCCTTATTTCATCAAGTACCTTGTGCTCTCATTACAAAAAATACTTTGTGCTCTTATTTTTTCACATGTTTGAATGTGTGATTTTAAAAAATGCAACATGACTTTTACACTATTCACACCTTTTACTTTGACCCAGGTTTTCTACTACAGAGTAATATGTATAATCAAATTATTATGTATAAAATGTTACTCCATCTGTTTCGCAATTAAAGTCACACTTTGCTTTTTTTGGATGTTTCAAAAACAAAGTCACACTTCCCTTATTTTCTTATTTGGCAAAGAAATCTACATCAAAACAGTGTCAAACGATGTCAAACATTGTCAAACAATGTGTTCTACAGTAAAGTCAATTTATTTCCTTAATAATTGTGAAGTCAAACTGTGACTTTGATTGTGAAAAGGAGGGAGTATAAAATTTCTATTCATGTGAATTTTCCAAAATATTAAATTTAATAATCTTTATTAATACGTGATTAAATATAATTACCGTCAAAGTTGTGTGTTGACAAATGTAAAAATCAAACGGTTGCAAATATTAAAGAACGGAGGATACTATTAGATTTAAAACGACATACAAAAAACTCCTCAACCCAAGATATCAAAACCACCCGTCAGAGTTTCGTGGTAAAAATTTGAAAAGATTTCAAGAGCACACTCCTTTTTAAAAAGTAAAATAGAGAGAGGTTTTAGTGTTCTTAAAAGAAGGTACAATAAAAATTGTTAAAATGTTCATTAATGGGTAAAAATAATACGGAGTGTTTTCTCCGTCTTTTAAGTAAAGAATTTGTGGTTCCAATTAATTCTCTCTCCTCTATACAGACTTCTACCACACGATTTTTACTTTATTAATTAATTCTCGTACCGATCAAACTTGGCAAAGTTTTAAGGAACGGAGGAGGAGTTATAACTTCTTCATGTTTAGCGTATAGCATTGCACACTTTTTATTATTAGGGGAATATCGATCAACGTACACTAAAATCAGCATGCAAAGGTTTCACTAAACAATATATTGACATACTACGAATTTAGTTTAACTGAAAATATAATAGGCTAAATAGTCAAATAGGCCCCTGTACCAGTAGTATAAGCCCATCTCAGTCCCTGAACTAAAAAAAGGTCCAATTCACACTTCGAACCGGCAAAAAAAGGTTCAAATTTCATTTTTTAAGGTTAAGCAATCGGTAAAAAAGGTCCAATTCGCACCCCTAAATATTAAAAATGTGTCAAAATTGCAATAAATCAAAAATAAAAAACAGAAAAAATGGCAAAGTTTAGTGTATAGCATTACAAACTTCTGCGCATATCTTAATAATCATACACTTTTTTTTTATTATTTCACGTGACGGTCTGGCAAAGTTTTAAGTAGGGGTGGGCAAAAATACTGAAAAATCGGTATACCGCACTTACCGTACCGAAAAATACTGAAAAATACTGAAATATTGGTATACCGTCATTTTCGGTACGGTATCATACCGTACCGATCTATTTCGATACGGTAATGGTAAATGTTTTCAAATACCGCGGTATACCGGTATAATACCGTACCGACTCCCCACTCAACAATTAATACAATTTTAAAAATCTATTACAATTTTGAAGCCCAAAATTAATACTTAAGTTGGTTACAGATACAAAAATACAAAAATAAAGGCCCAATTTCTCAAACCCACTATAACTAATGACTAATGAGTAATGTACAAATGTCAAGAAACAAGTCCATCTTGTTCCAAGAGCTTGCAAGTCGTGATGATTGAGCCGTTAAGTAGCTCATGAGTGAAGAGAGATACACTTATGTGACAAGTGTATCTACATAGGGATTCCGCGAGTCGAGACACACAACTTTGTCCGAAAGTCTTATTCAATTTTTAAAAATTATAAAAATGACTAAATACACTATCATATTAGGAATAAATGATTTTATATCCATGTTGTTTGAATAGTTTTATATATTTTTGTTAGAGATCACTATTGATTTAATTATATCTATATTGTTCAAGTTATTTTAGGAGAATGTGTTACTTTTTAATATGTGGCATGTTGAACTGCTTAAATATACTAATAATAATTATTGTTCAATATTGAATAGACATGAATAGATTATTAATTGTATTTCGTAACATTTTAATAATAGATTTAATATATCGCTAGTAATAACGATTTAGTATATTTTGTTAGTCTATGATAATTTTTTTTGTATTGGGAGACATGCACGGTAATTTATCGATACCGTACCGTTACCGAACCGAAACTTCGGTATACCGAAATGCGGTATACCGAAACTTCGGCAAGGTAAAGGTATGCAAATTTTGCATACCGAAAGTTTTGGTATGGCAAAGGTATGAAAAAAAATATAAGGTATATCATACCGAACCACCCTAATTTTAAGGGAGAAAATGATATGATACAAATATGACAACTAAAAATTATTATTCAAAATCCGGTATACTACGTACTATATATGGACGTGTACGTGCATATATGGACGGGTGCATCTACGTTTTAATCAAATTATTGCTAACACTATAGCAGAAAAGATTGCCGTGTTTGAATGGATTGTGAAATACGTAATGGAAATGAACATGCATGTTAATTACATCACATGTGAGTACATGTAGGGTATGTTACGTTCAAAGTCGCCATCCATTCCCTATATATACCCTCCTCCTTATCCATTTCTCTTCAACAATTCACAGAACAATTCAATATCTACAAGAGAAATTTTCAAAGGCAACTGGCGGCATGGCGGTCTTCAAAATCCTTCCCCTTCTCTCCCTCTCTCTGATTTCCCTTTTCTGCCTCCCATTCTCCGAGGCTACCCGGTTCGACATCACAAACAACTGCCCCTACACCGTGTGGGCAGCGGCCTTGCCCTCCGGCGGCGGGCAGCAACTAAACAGCGGCGGCGGGACATGGGGCCTCGACGTGCCGGCGGGGACCACCAGCGGTCGCATATGGGGCCGGACCGGCTGCAACTTTGACGGTTCAGGGAACGGGCACTGCCAGACCGGCGACTGCGGGAACGTGCTCACCTGCAGGCTCTCGGGGGCTCCGCCAACAACGTTGGCGGAGTTCTCCCTGAACCAGCCCAACAATCTGGACTTCTACGACCTGTCGGTGATCGACGGGTTCAATGTTCCGATGAGCTTCAGTCCAACTTCCGGCGGCTGCGCCTCCCTCCGGTGCCCCGCCGACAAGTGCTCCGATGCATACCTCTTCCCAGCTGACAATACTAAAACTCATAGTTGCCCTTCAGGGACCAACTACAAGATTGTCTTTTGCCCTTGAAGAAGAATAATGGGAAAAGCTAAGATTATTACTGTATAGACGTATAGTGATTGCTACCTCTGAAATAAAGGAAGAATAAGACGGCGTCAAAATAAGCACTTTTACTGTGTGTTTAAGTCTAGCCCTCACTAAAATACTTGTCCAGCTCGTTTTGGATTACAAAGTTTTATGGAATATCTTTCCTCTCATTAAATCATTAATTAATTAAAGTGTTTTGTGTGGAACAAAATTAATTAATGATCATTCTTGGAGTTATGCACGTATGAAATTAATATTTCGTAATAATACAATTAGGCGGAGTGTAGAGAGTTAGGACCGGCTCAGACCTCAATCACCACACCACGAAGGTAGCTCGTCATCCAACCACCAGAGGGCTTCAAAAGGGAAAAGGGGAGGGCAACAGCCACTGCACTCAACCTCTTAAAGGGAAGGAACCAACCGAAGAACCCCCCAACCCACTAGCCCAGAGTGAAGCACCCTAAGGTATCCCCGGAGACTGTCGAAGGGTGGCCGAAGCCCAAACCCAACACAGACCCTATTCTCTCTCACTCTAGAACCAGGGCAACACACAGAACAACTCATCGAAGAGAGGAGAAGATGGGGAGTCAAAATACAAGGATCCAGAAGGATCCGGACAAGTAAGAGGGGCCAGGGGCAGAAGTCACGGGCTGGCTAGACAAAGGGCAGCAAGTGGGCTAAGTAGAAGACAAATGGGCAAGTGGGCTGGTCAGGGTGGACAGCCCATACAAGACAAAAGGACCATTTAATGAATGGGGCCAATACCAACTCACATTCTCCACCTTCTTGGCCCCTGGTGGTGTTGAGCATTTTGTGAAAGGGAGTATCATCATCGCCGGTGAAAAGTGTATCTGTTCTTATCTAGCCACTATCAATGTTAAGGGTCCGTTTGCAAGACACTAGTTTTTCATAAGAAAGACATTTAGTTCCCATATCAGATGGGTTAAACTCCGAGGCTATCTTGCAAAGCTTCACTTCTCCTTTGTCAACAATATCTCTGATAAAATGGAATCTGACATCAATATGCTTGGTCCGATCATGGAACACCGGATTTTTGCATAACTGGATAGCTGATTGGCTATCAGAGTAAACTGTCACAACCTGTCTAAGAAAACCAATTTCAGTTAGGATACGTTTCAGCCAAATGGCCTCCTTAAAGGCTTCAGTGGCTGCAACGTATTCAGATTCAGTAGTTGAAAGAGTTACAATAGGCTGCAGTTGAGATTTCCAACTTATGCAAGATCCACAAAGTGTGAAAATATAGGAGGTAGTAGACTTCCTATTATCCCTATCATTAGCATAGTTGGAATCCACAAATCCAGTTACAGAAATACCAGCAGGAGTATGAGAGAAAGTCAGACCATGGTTAATGGTACCATTGAGGTACCTTAACAACCATTTCAGGGCATTCCAGTGTGGAAGCCCGGGGTTTGCCATGTACCTACTCAGGCAGCTAACAGCATAGGCTATGTCTGGCCTAGTGCTAACCATCAAGTACATAACTGACCCTATTGCACTTGAATAGGGGACAACTCTCATGCTTTCAATTTCAGGATCAGTCTTTGGGGACTGATCCTTACTTAAGACAAAGTGAGAGGCCAAAGGAATATTAACAGGAGTGGCAGAATTCATTTTGAACTTACATAATACCTTTTCAAGATAAGAGACCTGATTCAGAATGAGAGTACACTTACTTCTATCCCTTATTATGTTAATGCCAAGGATACGTTTTGCATCACCAAGATCTTTCATAGCAAAATTATCACTTAAGCATTTTTGAACATGTTTAATAGCATTAAGGGAAGGACTAATGAGCAGCATATCATCAACATAAATGAGCAAGAAAACAGGAATGGTTGCAGTATTCTTAAAATACAAACAATGATCAGAAACAGATTTCCTGAATTTCAAGGAAGACATGCATTGGTCAAACTTAATGTTCCACTGTCTAGGAGACTGCTTTAGACCATACAGAGCTTTCCTAAGGAGGCAGACATACTCACTATTCTTAGGGTCAACAAACCCTTCAGGCTGAGTCATGAAAATCTTCTTATCTAAGTCACCATGCAAAAAAGCAGTGGTGACATCCATCTGCTTCATTTCCCAGTTGTTGTGAGCAACAAGGGCCAACATCATTCTGATAGTAGTGAACTTAACTACAGGAGCAAATATCTCAGAATAATCAACCCCTTCTTTTTGGGTGAAACCCTTAGCAACTAACCTAGCTTTGAATCTAACATCATTGGGCTCTTCTTTAACCTTATAAAGCCACTTACATTCTACCACAGAGGTATTAGGTGGTCTGGGTACAAGGGTCCAAGTCTTATTTAACATAAGAGATTCAATTTCACTTCTCATGGCACTCTGCCATTTCTGAGATTCCTTAGAGGCTAGGGCTTCCTTATAAGACTTAGGTTCATTTAGGTCTAGGGTTTCAAACACAGAGAAGGCAAATAGAGAAGTATCACAGATATGAAAGGCAAAATCAGTCATGCTTTCAGAGATTTTCCTAACTGTTCTTCTACTTCTATCCCTAGCCAATTGATAATTATTCAGAGTGACAGGTTCAACAATGATCTCCTCCAGTTCACTACTGTCATTAGAGTCAGAATTAATCACAGTATCATGCAACATCTCATTATTTTCAGGCTCACTAGAAGGCTCCACCTCATTTGAGGTAGAGGAATTTTCAGGGACAGTTTGGGAAATGTCATGACAATCAGAGTCATCATAATTGTATAAATCAACACATAAGGGGTCAGCAGCATTCGGGATAGGCTCCACCTCACTAGGAGACTTCCTAGACTCAGGATCAGGCTGATGAACAGGCTGACTTAGACAAGGGAAGTCAGACTCATTAAAGACAACATTCCTACTGATAATGACCTTAAAACCAATTTGATTTCTATCCCAAACTCTATACCCTTTAACACCTTCGGGATATCCCAGAAAAACCCCTTTTTTAGATCTAGGTTCAAGTTTATCAGTTTGTTGGTGGACATAGGCAGAACACCCAAAAACCCTTAAGTTTGACAGATCAATAGGTTTTTCAGAAAAAACAGACTCAGGACATTTTCCCCCTAAGGGTACAGATGGAGACCTATTGATTAGGTAGGAGGCAGTGTTCACAGCTTCTCCCCAAAACTTCTTGGGGAGGCCAGAGGTAGCAAGCATACTCCTGACTTTATCAAGGAGTGTCCTATTCATCCTTTCAGCTATACCATTTTGTTGGGGAGTATAGGGCACAGTTTTGTGCCTTCTAATCCCCCACTCAACACACAACCTATCCATGTCCTTGTTACAGAATTCTAAACCATTGTCAGTCCTAAGAGTTTTAATCCTACAGCCAGTTTGGTTTTCTATCAAGACTTTCCATTCCTTAAATTTAACAAAAACATCAGATTTTTGTTCAAGTAGAAAAACCCAGACTTTTCTAGAAAAATCATCAATGATAGACAAGAAATACCTCCTACCCCCATGGGTAGGGACACTGGAAGGACCCCATACATCTGCATGTATGTACTCAAGGGCAGACTTGGATTTGGGTTCATTTGGGTTGACAGAGGAAGGGAACTTAACCCTATGCTGCTTTCCCAACACACAACTTTCACAAAATGGAATAGGGGACACAGAATCATTTCCAAAAACTCCAGATTTTTGTAAAATGCTCATACCCTTATTACTCATGTGCCCAAGTCTATGATGCCAAAGGGCAGACTTATCAGAATGCACAGAGTTGACAGAATCAGAAAAAGGTTTTGCATGCACCACATAAAGATTATTTTCTTTCAAAGCTTTAAAAACAACCAAAGAGTTTTTAAGGATTTTCATGCACCCATTACCCCATTTACCATCAAGCCCGCATTCTTCAAATGCAGCAACAGAAAACAGATTATGCCTAAGATCAGGGACATGTCTAACATTTTTAATTGTAAAAACAGTTCCATTATCAAACTTTAAGCAAATATCACCAATTCCATGCACCCTACACTTCTTATTGTCAGCTAAGGACACATAACCAGTGTCACAAACATTGTAAGAGGCAAACAGGGTTCTAAAAGGGGTCATATGGTAAGTGCAACCTGAATCTATCAACCATTCAGTTTCAGTCAAACTGCCTAAGGCAGAATTAGCATGGTCACAAACCATAAAGACTTCACCAACAACTTCATTATTGGTCACAGAGTTAGCTTGTTCATTCCTTTTAGGTAAGGTACAGTCCTTAATGAAATGACCTGGATTCCCACAGTTATAACACACCCTCTTCTTACTCTTATACCTCTTCTTACCTGGATTTCTACTGTTTTTATCTAGGTTATCTTTCTTAGGGTATCTGGACCTACTTTTAGACCTACCCCTGACAAAGAAAACTTCCCCAGTATCTCTAGAATGGCTACTATGGCCCCTAGACTGTTTCAGATCAAGTTCCTTGCTTTTTAAACCATTTATGACAGTATCTAGAGTAATGTCATCTCTGCCATACTTTATGGCAGACTTGACATCATTGTAAGAATCAGGGATAGCATTGAGTAAAATAATAGGGGTGTACTCATCTATATGCTTATCACCAGACAGCTTGATATTATGGATCAACTTATTGAAAATATCAAGGTTTTCATCAATGTCTTTAGTTAGGTCAAGCCTAAACCTAAAGAACTTTTCAAGTAAAAACAGTTTTCCTGGTAAAGATGTGTCAGTGTACAGGGATTCCAGTTTATCCCATAAAGCCTTAGCAGATTCTATGATTCCAACCTTCCTAAGGACTGAGTCAGAGAGGTTTAAGTAAATTGTGGAGCAGGCAGTTTCATTCATTTCTAATTGCTTGGGTTTATCCTCAGTATCTAAATACTTATCAGTTACAGCCCTGTAGACCTTTTGCTGGATCAACACACACTTGATTTTCTGTTTCCATATATCAAAGTCAGTTTTACCATTGAAAGGAAGCATGCCATACACATTAGAAGACATGGTAACTGAGCCTAGATTAATACAAGGCCTAGCCCTAGCTGGTTAGGCTGCGGACTAAGGGACCACGCAGATCCGGGGCCACTGAGGTGGCTGGCAGGGAATCCCCTAGCCCTAACCTCAAGTGCCTAACTCAACTAGGTTTTGGTGCCACAGTATTACCAAGGATCAGAAACCAACACAGGTAAAGGAACGGAATGGAAACAGATAAAGGCCAGACAAGAAAGATATACAGAGGGATAAATAAACCAAAGATCACACAGATGAAT